CTCCAGTCTTCAGTGTCACATGACCCTTCAGAAATCACTCTAATATGATGATCTGATGCTCAAGACACATTTATGATTATTATCAGTGTTGAAAACAGTTGCCGTTTCATGTTACAAAAGATTTCAAATGCTGTTTTCTTGAACTTGTTATTCAATCCTGAAAACTAAAATGTATCAGTTTCCACAAAAAGGAAACCTTTTTTTTATAGGATTCATTGATGAATAGTTTACTGTAATAGAATTCAAAATAGAAAACATTTCTAACAATATAAATCTGTATTATCCCTTTTTATCAGTTTAACACATCCATGCTGAATAAAATTATTAATTTATTTTTTTAAAAAGGAAAGAGTAACTGACCCTAAACTTTTGAACGGTAAATTGTTACAAAAAGATTTCTATTTTAAATAAATGCTGTTATTTTATAACTTATATATATATATATAATATATATATATATATATATATACTTAATAAAATGATTATATATATATATATATATATATATATATGTTCCATTTATTTAAAATAGAAACAATTAAATGACTATTTCTAATTCTAATTTCTAATTAACAATGTGCGTTTTTTTCTTGGGAAATAACAGTTCATTAGCCTTTCAGTGGCCAAAACTCAATGATGTGCCAACAGAAACAACACAACCCTCAAACGCTAATATTCAGACCTGGACAAACAAGGATCTCGTTAGCAATGTTAACGCAGCGCTATCTATAGATTTAAGCCTCCTGAAATAAGTCTACAGGTTGAGGAGGACTAACCTATTATTGACAAAAATAACAATAACAAAATAAGAAGCTGTCATAATGTAACTTTCCCTGGGCACTTCGAATGTTTTAAACTAAAATATAAGTGCTAATTAATAATATTATGTATGAATAACACCTAACTGTACAACTGTACAGAACTGCTGTATCTCTGGGTGTAGCGCAGCGCCGACTGGTGGTGATGAACGGAACAGCACTCACTTGGAAACTAATTATTACATTGTTTAAATTAATACATTTTTAGCGTAAATGTGGTTTTGTATATGTACATTTCTGAAATGCATAACTTAGACAGTTTCCTCTGATAACAGATCTCTGTACACTGTAATGTGGACTAGGGCTGTACAAATAAACGTGAATTGAATTGAAAGACACCATGACATCTATCGGTTACTGGTTAGTATAGTCCTGAAGAATAATGCTGTTAATCACAGTGATTAGAGACAGTTTTAGTTTTTTCTTGGCTAGTAATGGCTCAATGTTTGAAACTAGCAGGTTCAGCTTTTACATACTTAAATTAGCATATTTTTTGTTTTACCCTCGGCAGTTTTTTACCTTTATAAAGGCCCATTTTAACCTCATATTATAGGACTGTTACTAAATCAAATTAAATAATTTACACTGCAATAAATAATGTTATGAGATTAATGTTTTAAATAACTTTTTGGATATACAATAAGAAAAATGCAATAATACTTTTAAACATGAAACTAAACCGCCAGTAGGTGGCGGCAAGTCCCTTAATGAATCAGTGAATCATTCATTTAAACTCCCCCTGTGGTGTAAATCCGGCTTTTAATGTTGTTTATATGATACAGTGATACAGTGAATGAACTAGGTACAATGTAAATGAAAACCCACAGAAGAAAAAAAAAACATAAATAACTTAAGTGGAGCTCTTCAGGGCTCTTTGAAACTGCACTGATTTGGACGTCAAAACGTTGGTTGCAATTGAAGAAAAAAATCCTGAAATGTTTTCCTCAAAAAACTTAATTTCTTTTCCACTGAAGAAAGAAAGACATGAACATCTTGGATGGCATTGGGGTGAGTAAATTATCAGGAAATCTTCATTTTGAGGTGAACTAATCCTTTAAACTAATCCCCCACAACCTCGAACCTAATAAAATAAAATGTAAAAAGTAAACCGAAATCTTCAGCGTGTTCGACGCCCTAAACTACCTTAAAGAAAACAAAAATACAAACGGTGGCGCACACTTCTTACCTAGTGTGTCTAACACCTGACATATAGGCCACCTGCAGCCCATTAAACTCTGAACATTGGCCTAAAACACACAATAACACTAAGGAACTAAATGTTAAACATACACAACTGAAATTGGATTAAACTGGTACAAAGTACGCCACTCAGGACACTGAATGAACACACACACACGCACGCGCGCGCAAACACCCGCGAAGCCTTTTAAAACAGCGGGGCGACAGCCGATTGGACGCCCTGATGATGATGGACAGCTGACACGGCCTATCACAGGAGCCTGACAGCAAATAGAACGCGTACAAGAGAGGGAGGGAAAAACAAAAGCACAACAAACACGTATAGAATGTAACATGAAATAAAATGTAAATACCGTAATATTAACTAATCTACTTGTCTACTGCAACGTGTTTATTGAACTATAATATCAATGTAACAATTACAATTTACAGGCAAACAACTCCTTGGTGTAGGCTATATATATATACACACACACATTTATATATATAGTTGATTGTTAACGCAAACACATTTTATGTGAGAACACTGATGAAGTCTATTCTCACAGAGAGTGAGAAAAACTTTTCTTTTTTGAATGCCACAGAAATGTGATAGTATCAGTGAAACCAACACATCTGAGAATCGCTGACTCCGATCTCAGGGTTTATTCATACGGAAGTTTCAATACCATCAAACTTACAATATCTCAACACTAATGACACACTGATGAACACAGCATGAGCTCACACAGGCCTCTATAGCTTAGTCTCAGGTAAAGTATGATTTGCATATGATATTGTTTTTTGAATTACTGTCACTGTTGCTCATCGTTATGGGTTTGTTCACATTTTAAGTATTAAACATCAGTAACTTTGTACCAGTGTTTGTGCTCAAGATAATCCAGGGTTATTACAAAGACAATCATTTTATCCCTTAAAACTCATCTTTGATAATCATAATTATATATTTAAATGTTTTTTTTTCCCTGTGAATGTCTTAAAATATCTTGAATGTAACTCGACACCCTTGCCTCATTTAGTATACGTGATTCTATGAATATGTAAATGAGTCCCGCCTCCACTCACTCACAGCTGCTCGGATTATGCACTCGCTCAACTGTAGTAAACGCTTTTTTGGATTATTAAAACAAATAATATGCGATTATTCCAATATTGTGGCATTATTCCAATAACAAGAGACCTCAAACAACAACAAAAAATACAAACTTTGACAATAATACTGATTTAATGTATTTTATGTTTAAATATATATATAAATATTAACAAAATATTCATCACAAAAGCTGTTAGCAACATCCAGAAAAATAATGGACCTCTGCTGGACAGATGTGGTAATTACACCTTTTCTAAAACTATATATTCTGCAGAAGAGATCAATATCCAGAAACAACTCGCATTTAATTTCGATCATCATTAAGGTTTTGTTTTCATAAAAAAATTAATATTTCATAAGCATGCTTATGGTGTACTTTAGCCATAAATAGGTTTAAATTAAAACTTCATATCCCCCAAAAACACAGCATAAACATATAGATGAGAAATCAAATTAAAAAACCGTAAACGAGGAGCACATGAAAAATAGAAAAACAATAAAAACATTCAAAATGTTAACCCTTTAGCTGTCAGCCCTTTTTGAGTGTTGACGTGAAAATGCACTACGCAAACTTAAACGGTTGTAATTCATGAAGCCTTTGTACTAAAGACTTATGGTTGGTCTCTTTTAAAAGAAGACTCTTGGTAGATTATTGCTGAAGTGGAATAAATTAATAGAATTAAATTATTTAAAAGTTATTGAAGTTTAAGTTTATTGTTATGAAAATATAAAAAAATACTTAAAAAAAAAAAATATATATATAAATTAATATAGACAGAAAGTCAAAGCCATATATCTAACCAAGTTGTGTTCCAAATTTGAAGTTGATATCACAAACATTGAAGTTCCCATGAGATTTTGTTTAGACGTAATACCAAAAATACCCACCGGGTGACATTGCGTTCCATTGAATTTAATTGTATGCATTCTGCCATAACAAATTAATAAATTTCTATCCAAATTTCACTTCTGTCACTAAATATGTAACCTTGAGAGTCAGACCTTTCTGACAATATGTGTTTTGTCAAGATTGGAACATTTTTGATAGTAAATTATGAAAGATGATGCCCAAAAGGGGAGGGGCCTAATAAAAAAAGTACCGTTTCTATGGTAACACAACGTCCAATTTCAAAACGGTTTTCACAGGATGAATTCTGAGTTCGTAAGCTTTCAAATGATACCTAATTTATGATAACTACTAAAATATGTGATATAATAAAAAAAAAATATATATATATATATAATATATATTATACTTTTTAGAGGACTTTTTACTTTACTTTTTAAAATACAATTTTATCTTTTTTTATTGACAAATACTAGATTATGTTTTATTATGAACTTTTAGCATTAAAAACCAAAGTTTCAATTATTAAAAGTGTGTCAACTTTTTGTGACAAAGGTCAAAAACAGATTTTTTGAGGCGCACTCTTGTCATAAACTCATATATTACTGTTCATACATAATTTGTAAGAAAGAAACAGCGCTAAAATATCTATTAAGGAGTCTTAGACCTTTCCAACGATATATAGTTTGTCATGACTAGATTAGGATTTAATAGTAATATAGTGAAGTAAATTTAGGTTGCCCGTATACGGTTATTTAAACTATAATTCTGATGAAATCACACAGAACACAATATTTTACTTCGGCAAACACATTTTATTCATAAAATGTTTTTTAAAAATCTGGTTAATAAACACATCTGAGACGCATGAATTAAGCACTAATACGATATGGTGACATCCAGTGCAATAATGGTGTTCATTAGTGTTGTAATCGAGCTGAATAAACCCTCCTCTGTTGTCTTCACTGATAGGCTACAGCACAGGAAACACTCCTGTGTGTCTCATCATCCACCAGCTCACACACACACACACACACACACACACACACACATGCTCGCAGACCTCTGAGTCAATCCATGCAAGACATCCAGAGCCTCCACAGAAGGTAAGACTCACTGCTACTATAACTAATACACCTATTAAACGCTATAAAATGCATTTCCAATAAAATCAAGTGTTTCTCAGAGAGTTTAAGTCTTCGCTTTGGTTTAAAGCTGTGTGTGAGGAACATGTTCTAGAAGAGCGGCGCTGCCGAAGGTGTGTTCACATACCAGGAACACATTATGGATGTGTGTAAACAAGTTGTGAATGGCACTGCGTGTAAAAGTTCACATTCCTGCATCTCGCCGTCGCAGGAACACGTCCAGCATCACGAGGCGTTCAGAACCAGTCATGTGATCGCTCATGACCCGACAGCTGCGGTCCGAGGCGTTCAGAACCAGTCATGTGATCGCTCATGACCCGACAGCTGCGGTCCGAGGCGTTCAGAACCAGTCATGTGATCGCTCATGACCCGACAGCTGCTGTCCGAGGCGTTCAGAACCAGTCATGTGATCGCTCATGACCCGACAGCTGCGGTCCGAGGCGTTCAGAACCAGTCATGTGATCGCTCATGACCCGACAGCTGCGGTCCGAGGCGTTCAGAGCCAGTCGTGTGACCGCTCATGACCCGACAGCTGCGGTCCGAGGCGTTCAGAGCCAGTCGTGTGACCGCTCATGACCCGACAGCTACGGTCCGAGGCGTTCAGAACCAGTCCTGTGATCGCTCATGACCCGACAGCTGTGGTCCGAGGCGTTCAGAACCAGTCGTGTGATCGCTCATGACCCGACAGCTGCGGTCCGAGGCGTTCAGAACCAGTCATGTGATCGCTCATGACCCGACAGCTGCGGTCCGAGGCGTTCAGAACCAGTCATGTGATCGCTCATGACCCGACAGCTGCGGTCCGAGGCGTTCAGAACCAGTCATGTGATCGCTCATGACCCGACAGCTGCTGTCCGAGGCGTTCAGAGCCAGTCCTGTGATCGCTCATGACCCGACAGCTGTGGTCCGAGGCGTTCAGAACCAGTCGTGTGACCGCTCATGACCCGACAGCTGCGGTCCGAGGCGTTCAGAACCAGTCATGTGATCGCTCATGACCCGACAGCTGCGGTCCGAGGCGTTCAGAACCAGTCATGTGATCGCTCATGACCCGACAGCTGCGGTCCGAGGCGTTCAGAACCAGTCATGTGATCGCTCATGACCCGACAGCTGCGGTCCGAGGCGTTCAGAACCAGTCATGTGATCGCTCATGACCCGACAGCTGCTGTCCGAGGCGTTCAGAGCCAGTCCTGTGATCGCTCATGACCCGACAGCTGCGGTCCGAGGCGTTCAGAACCAGTCCTGTGATCGCTCATGACCCGACAGCTGCGGTCCGAGGCGTTCAGAACCAGTCCTGTGATCGCTCATGACCCGACAGCTGCTGTCCGAGGCGTTCAGAGCCAGTCCTGTGATCGCTCATGACCCGACAGCTGCGGTCCGAGGCGTTCAGAGCCAGTCCTGTGATCGCTCATGACCCGACAGCTGCGGTCCGAGGCGTTCAGAGCCAGTCATGTGATCGCTCATGACCCGACAGCTGCGGTCCGAGGCGTTCAGAGCCAGTCATGTGACCGCTCATGACCCGACAGCTGCTGTCCGAGGCGTTCAGAGCCAGTCCTGTGACCGCTCATGACCCGACAGCTGCGGTCCGAGGCGTTCAGAGCCAGTCCTGTGACCGCTCATGACCCGACAGCTGCGGTCCGAGGCGTTCAGAGCCAGTCATGTGACCGCTCATGACCCGACAGCTGCTGTCCGAGGCGTTCAGAGCCAGTCATGTGACCGCTCATGACCCGACAGCTGCTGTCCGAGGCGTTCAGAGCCAGTCCTGTGATCGCTCATGACCCGACAGCTGCGGTCCGAGGCGTTCAGAGCCAGTCATGTGACCGCTCATGACCCGACAGCTGCTGTCCGAGGCGTTCAGAGCCAGTCATGTGACCGCTCATGACCCGACAGCTGCTGTCCGAGGCGTTCAGAGCCAGTCATGTGACCGCTCATGACCCGACAGCTGCTGTCCGAGGCGTTCAGAGCCAGTCCTGTGATCGCTCATGACCCGACAGCTGTGGTCCGAGGCGTTCAGAACCAGTCGTGTGACCGCTCATGACCCGACAGCTGCGGTCCGAGGCGTTCAGAACCAGTCATGTGATCGCTCATGACCCGACAGCTGCGGTCCGAGGCGTTCAGAACCAGTCATGTGATCGCTCATGACCCGACAGCTGCGGTCCGAGGCGTTCAGAACCAGTCATGTGATCGCTCATGACCCGACAGCTGCGGTCCGAGGCGTTCAGAACCAGTCATGTGATCGCTCATGACCCGACAGCTGCGGTCCGAGGCGTTCAGAACCAGTCATGTGATCGCTCATGACCCGACAGCTGCTGTCCGAGGCGTTCAGAGCCAGTCCTGTGATCGCTCATGACCCGACAGCTGTGGTCCGAGGCGTTCAGAACCAGTCGTGTGACCGCTCATGACCCGACAGCTGCGGTCCGAGGCGTTCAGAACCAGTCATGTGATCGCTCATGACCCGACAGCTGCGGTCCGAGGCGTTCAGAACCAGTCATGTGATCGCTCATGACCCGACAGCTGCGGTCCGAGGCGTTCAGAACCAGTCGTGTGATCGCTCATGACCCGACAGCTGCGGTCCGAGGCGTTCAGAACCAGTCATGTGATCGCTCATGACCCGACAGCTGTGGTCCGAGGCGTTCAGAACCAGTCGTGTGACCGCTCATGACCCGACAGCTGCGGTCCGAGGCGTTCAGAACCAGTCATGTGATCGCTCATGACCCGACAGCTGCTGTCCGAGGCGTTCAGAACCAGTCATGTGATCGCTCATGACCCGACAGCTGCGGTCCGAGGCGTTCAGAACCAGTCGTGTGATCGCTCATGACCCGACAGCTGCGGTCCGAGGCGTTCAGAACCAGTCATGTGATCGCTCATGACCCGACAGCTGTGGTCCGAGGCGTTCAGAACCAGTCGTGTGACCGCTCATGACCCGACAGCTGCGGTCCGAGGCGTTCAGAACCAGTCATGTGATCGCTCATGACCCGACAGCTGCTGTCCGAGGCGTTCAGAACCAGTCATGTGATCGCTCATGACCCGACAGCTGCGGTCCGAGGCGTTCAGAACCAGTCATGTGATCGCTCATGACCCGACAGCTGCGGTCCGAGGCGTTCAGAACCAGTCGTGTGACCGCTCATGACCCGACAGCTGCGGTCCGAGGCGTTCAGAACCTGTCATGTGATCGCTCATGACCCGACAGCTGCGGTCCGAGGCGTTCAGAACCAGTCCTGTGATCGCTCATGACCCGACAGCTGCGGTCCGAGGCGTTCAGAACCAGTCATGTGATCGCTCATGACCCGACAGCTGCTGTCCGAGGCGTTCAGAACCAGTCGTGTGACCGCTCATGACCCGACAGCTGTGGTCCGAGGCGTTCAGAACCAGTCGTGTGATCGCTCATGACCCGACAGCTGCGGTCCGAGGCGTTCAGAACCAGTCATGTGATCGCTCATGACCCGACAGCTGCGGTCCGAGGCGTTCAGAACCAGTCATGTGATCGCTCATGACCCGACAGCTGCGGTCCGAGGCGTTCAGAACCAGTCCTGTGATCGCTCATGACCCGACAGCTGCGGTCCGAGGCGTTCAGAACCAGTCATGTGATCGCTCATGACCCGACAGCTGCTGTCCGAGGCGTTCAGAACCAGTCATGTGATCGCTCATGACCCGACAGCTACGGTCCGAGGCGTTCAGAACCAGTCCTGTGATCGCTCATGACCCGACAGCTACGGTCCGAGGCGTTCAGAACCAGTCATGTGATCGCTCATGACCCGACAGCTGCGGTCCGAGGCGTTCAGAGCCAGTCATGTGACCGCTCATGACCCGACAGCTGCGGTCCGAGGCGTTCAGAACCAGTCCTGTGACCGCTCATGACCCGACAGCTGCGGTCCGAGGCGTTCAGAGCCAGTCATGTGACCGCTCATGACCCGACAGCTGCGGTCCGAGGCGTTCAGAGCCAGTCATGTGACCGCTCATGACCCGACAGCTGCGGTCCGAGGCGTTCAGAGCCAGTCATGTGACCGCTCATGACCCGACAGCTGCGGTCCGAGGCGTTCAGAGCCAGTCATGTGACCGCTCATGACCCGACAGCTGCGGTCCGAGGCGTTCAGAGCCAGTCATGTGACCGCTCATGACCCGACAGCTGCGGTCCGAGGTGTTCAGAACCAGTCATGTGACCTCTCGATATCCCTTGTGTGCGTCTGTACGGAGGAATCACTCATGCACAAACTCAAACCCAGTTTCCTTGACATGATTTGCAATGTTTATATATTATTTTTCACCTTTAGTATAAAATATGGTTGCATAAACTCCCGGGCTAGACTAGTCTCTTTAAGATTGGGACTAGTTGCATAAACATAAGACACAGTGGATATGAACTAGTCTTACAACCTAACAATTATATCCTTAATATCTATCTTGTACTATTCTGTCATAATGACTGAAACTTTTTGCTTATTTGGATAAAAGCGTCTGTTAAATGAATGGCTTACACTGTAAGAAATTATTGTTGGTTTAACTTTTTTAAAAAACGTAAGTAACCTTAAAATAGAGTTCATTGAACTTAAACATTTGAGTTCATACAAAGAAGAAGATTGAATCAACAGAATCTCAAAAATATCGTTAACTGAAGCACATTAATTATCTAAGTTTTGACAAAAGAAAAAAAAAGTTGTGATAAATCATGAAAATATATATTTTTTACAGTGACTCAAATTAGCCTGATCCACCTTTTTATGTAACTGGCTTTATAAAGTTATGACTAGTCTTGAAGAAATAAGATTTGATGCCAAACTCGTAAGAACTAGTCTTACGAGTTTGGCATCAAATCTTATTTCTTATTTCATAATAGAAATATTAGAATTTCATAAGACTTTTCAAAAGAAAAGAGGAAACTGCACTTGCTTCATTTGATCGCCATTGAACATCCTTAAAAATAAAAGTTTCCTTGTTGGTATTTATCATTAGTTTTTTGGTTTCCAGAG